GCAGAGCTGGACTGATCCTTTTGTATTGCCCAAGGACCGGAAGCAGGCCTTCTGCTCCTAGCCCTGTTCATCTGGCAAAAGGTCCAAACTTGGGCGTCAGGGATGTGTGGGTGGGTGGGTGGGTGGGAAGGCAGGAGAGGAGCTTGGCCCAGCCAGCTTCAAAACCGCTTCAAACAAGTTAGCTATTCGTGTGGTTATTATTGTCATCCGGGGGATGAGGTCTGGAAGACAGGAGGGAAGCACCGGGCTCCGGGGCAGGGGAGGGACAGCCTGAGCACCACTTCTGTTCACCTCTGTTCCCGGCTCTGTCCTTGCCCAGACCTATGCAGAAATGGACCCCACCACAGCAGCCTTGGAGAAGGAACACGAGGCGGTAAGCAGGGGCCGGGCTCCTGCCCGCGGGCGCTCCCTCGGCCGGCTTCCCTCGCCCCGACGGAGCCAGCCACTGCCCTGCACTCCCACCTTACCCACAGATCACCAAGGTGAAGTACGTGGACAAGATCCACATCGGGAACTACGAGATCGATGCGTGGTACTTCTCACCGTTCCCCGAAGACTACGGGAAACAGCCCAAGCTGTGGCTCTGCGAGTATTGCCTCAAGTACATGAAATTCGAGAAGAGCTACCGCTTCCACTTGGTGAGCCCGGGCCAGCTGGGCCTGGTGAGAGAGGGGCCGCGGGGGCCGAGGGGCCGAGGCAGCAGCGACAGGGAAGAGAGACAGGTTCCAGAGGAGTTGGGTACAAGGAAAAGCTGCCCGTGGCTCAAGAGACCCGGGTTCTAGGCCTGGCCTTGCCTTGGCTGGCGTGACCTTGGCCAACTCGCTGCCTTCCCCCAGACCTCAGTTTCCTCTTCCGTGGAACGGGGACGGTAATCCCCGCCCTTCCCACCTCCTCAGGTCACCCCAGACACTACATGTTTATCGAGGCCAGCCCAGTGCCAGGTTCCTCGGGGCAAAAGAGGGAGCGAGTATGGCCCCTGAGCAATGGGGCTGGAAGGGGGGGGACAGATGGGAGGCATCGGCAGGGGTGGCCCGGGGGTGGGGTGCTGGGGGCTCGCAGCCTCGCGCAGCACGGCGTTTCCCAGAGGGCGTGACCTGAGGCAGATGTGTGCGGTTTGGGGACCGCCAGTGTCATGGATGAGAGCCCGCCAGAGTCCTCCGGAGCCAGGCTGGCCTGAACTTGAGACCATCTAGCTGTGTGATATGCAAGCCAGCTCCGTAGCCTCTCTGCGCCTCGGTTTCTTCATCTGTAAAATAGGCTCTGTCTCCTCAGGTAGTTGGGAGGCTTACTTGACGTAGGTGAAGTCCGGGGCCCAGGGTCTGTAGGTGGGGAAACAGAAGGGAGACCTGTTGCAAGCCGCACAGGGTGGGATGGGGGGGGGGGCACCTAGCAGGAAACCTCAAGGTCTCAAGGCTTTGTCTCCCCGCCCCCACCCCCAGGGTCAATGTCAGTGGCGGCAGCCCCCCGGGAAGGAGATCTATCGCAAGAGCAACATCTCCGTGTATGAGGTCGACGGCAAAGACCACAAGGTGAGCTGGGGGGCCGAAGTGCCGTGGGAGGTGGGGGGGAGCACCTCCTGGATGATCCTCGTTGTCGCCGAACGGTAGAGGCCGGCCTGAGGACGAGCCCCCGCCGGGGAAAGGCCTGTGAGGTCATGCTTAGTCTGGCGCTTGGCCTGTGGTTGGCGCCCGGTAAACATCCGGCTCTGGGGCGCCAGCCTTGGGGACGGTTTCTGTTCTGCCCTGAAGACTTTTCTCCTGACGAGGTGGCTTGGGTTGGGGGCAGTCCTGGCCCAGAGTAGAGATTGTCACGCCTGAGGCTGCTTCTAGAAGCACTTTCTCTTTCTGCCTGAAGGAAAGGTTTCTTCCCTGGGAGGGGACGGCTTTGTGTGACTTGCTGCCGGAGAGCCGTGTAGCTCTGGCCGCGGAGTTCCTTGTTTCTGGCAGGAGGACCTCGGTGGGGCAGGGTGGGGCATTTGGGGCCTTGCTTTGCTGCCATTGAGCACCTGGCCTTTGCCTGGTCAGTCTGGGAAGCTCTGACCAAATGTCCCTGTTTCCCAGGGAAGGGGACCGTAGAGGGTAAGGCCAAGAGGGCAGGCTTCTGAGTGGCTCCTGCTTCAAACCGTGCTGTCATTGACTAGCTGACCGTGGACAAGTGACTTAACGCTGTTTGTTCCTGTTTCCTCATCTGTAAGATAGGAGTCATGATTACGTTGACCTAATAGGATTGTTGGTGGAACAAATGAGCAATGCCAAGTACTTAACTCGGTGTCTGGCATCAAGCAGGTGCTTAGTAAACGTAGGCCTTTGTTATTATTGGTGACCTCCTTGTGTTCAGCCAGCCTTGAGGTAAATAACTCAAGGGGAATATTGGCTCTTAGCCTGGCCTGGGTCCCTTGCTTTGCCTTTCTGAGCACGAACAGGGTGGGTGGCAGAAAGGGCTCTAGCAGGAGACATGGGTGTTCTCTCTAGCTCTACCCTGTTAACTTTGAAGCCTCAGCCAAGGACTCCCTCTCCCCAGAACCTCAGTTTCCTCCTAGGTAAAATGGGCTAGCAATGCTGGACTTCACAATTGTTGGGTCAAATAAGAGTGGATGTAAAAGGTGTCATAAACCAGAGGGTCTCCTGATCTGTGCCATGAAGCCAACGTCAAGGTCTCATTATCCGTCCTGATATTGGTCTCTAGCCTGGGTAGGTGTCTGGGCCTACAGCAAGGAGGCTCCTGAGGCCCAGCAGAAGAGTATGGCCAAGTGGGCAGACCGCTCAGGCTTTGGAATCAGGCTCAAAGCTCATCCATTCAGCAAACATTTACCAAGCACCAAGCTTCATGCTTAGCCTCATGCTGGGTGTTGGGGATACAGCTATGAATAAGACAGAACTCATATACCAGTTTGAATTCTGCGCTAGCACTCACCAGCCATGGGACCTTACGCCAGCCACTTCCCTCCTCTGAGCCTCACTTTCCTGATCGGAAACCTAAAAGTTAATGTCCCTGAAGATTGAACTCCTATTTAGCACTCAGAAGTGGTAACTGATTGGGACACCTGGCTGGCTCAGTCGGTGGAGCGTGCGACCCCTGCTCTCGGGGTTGTGAGTTCCAGCCCCATGTTGGGTGTAGAGATTACTTAAAAATAAAATCTTAAAAAAAAAAAAAAAAAAAAGAGCTTTTTCTGCCCATGACTCCTGTTCCCATGCTATAACTAAACAAACACCTTTGGGGCACCTGGGTGGCTCAGTCGGTTGAGTGTCTGACCCTTGATTTTGGCTCAGGTCATGATCTCGGCGTCGTGAGATCCAGCCCTGCACCCAGTGCAGAGTCAGCTTGGGATTCTCATCTCCCTCTGGCCCTCCCCCCCCATTCGCACACACACACACTCTCTCTCTAAATAAATAAATAAAATCTTAAAAAAACAAAAACAAAGCAACTCACCTTTTTGCACGGGGCGTGGGGGAGAAGTGGTCACTGGTTAACCGAGCTCTCTGGTTTTTAGTTTCCCTGTCCATCTGGAAAATGTAAGACTCCTTTTGGTTCTAAGTGCTTTTGTTCTTGGTGGGGGGGCCCCACTTCCCAGCGGCTCGGCATTGGCTGCTCTCTGAAGGCTGGTGTTTGTGGAGCGGGTGGCAGCCGCTGCCCAGGCCTCCGTGAAGCTAGGTGGGGAGTTATACCCGCTCCCTGAGCCTGCTTCCACCTCCCCTGCCCCTCAGATTTACTGTCAGAACCTGTGTCTGCTCGCCAAGCTTTTCCTGGACCACAAGACCTTGTACTTCGACGTGGAGCCCTTCGTCTTTTACATCTTGACTGAGGTGGACAGGCAGGGGGCCCACATCGTTGGCTACTTCTCGAAGGTGCTGGATTGGGAAGCCCAGGTTGAGGGAGGGTGGGGACTCTGACCGGGAGAAGGGGCTGAGCCTCCGCACAGGTCCTGACCACACACCCCTGTAGGAGAAGGAGTCTCCAGATGGGAACAATGTGGCCTGCATCCTGACCCTGCCCCCCTACCAGCGCCGTGGTTATGGGAAATTCCTCATTGCTTTCAGTGAGTGGTTCCTGACCTACGGAGGAAGGGGCAGCTGTGGTGGGGGCCATGGCGGTGGGGGGGGGTGGGGGGCGCCAGGGCGGGGCCGGGTCCTCCGAATCCTCCTTTCCACCGCTGCCAGGTTACGAGCTCTCCAAGCTAGAGAGCACAGTCGGCTCCCCTGAGAAGCCGCTGTCTGACCTGGGCAAGCTCAGCTACCGCAGCTACTGGTCTTGGGTCCTGCTGGAGATTCTGCGAGACTTCCGGGGCACACTATCCATCAAGGACCTCAGGTGAGGGCCCTGGAACCCTTAAAGAGGGAAGGACTCTTCTAAGATTGGCCGTGATCCCACGTCCTTGTCCCCTTTTGCTGTCCCAGTCCGACCCCACAAGGGAACTCTGCCCAACATCCGTGCTAATCCCTTTCTGCAGCCAGATGACTAGCATCACCCAGAATGACATCATCAGCACCCTACAGTCCCTCAACATGGTCAAGTACTGGAAGGGCCAGCATGTGATCTGTGTCACACCCAAGCTGGTAGAAGAACACCTCAAAAGTGCCCAGTATAAGAAACCACCCATAACAGGTAGGTGGGGGGCTGCCCAGGGCGTGTGTGGTGGGGGGTAGGTGTTAAGATCTACTGGGAGCCAAAGCTACCTTTTGACTGTTACATGATCCCAAAGTAGTCTGACCAGCTCCTGGGACGGAAGCCTGGGGCAGGCTCCTCATTCCCAGGTTTCCCTGCCCCCTCCCCAGGACTCAGTATGCCCTTGTTCTCACCTAGAGGTGAAACCTGGCCTGGGCCCAGAGGCCCAGCCCTGCCTCTCATGCCTTTCTCCCCACAGTGGACTCAGTCTGTCTCAAGTGGGCACCCCCCAAGCACAAGCAAGTGAAACTCTCCAAGAAGTGAGTGGGCTGCGCCCCGGCTGCTGGACCCCTGCCTCCCTGCCCCCCTCCCCCCGCCTGTAAATATGTACAGACCTGTTATGTCATTTTTTTTTTAATAAAGTAAGTTCTGCCAGTGGTTCTGGACTTTGGAGGTGGGAGGGAGAGGCCAAGAGCTGATGTTCTTCGTTGCATGTCACACACAGCCAGTTGTGCTCAAAACATTTTCCTTCTGCTTGTTCTTTCTATCCCTCACCCCAAGCCCAAGCCCAGTTCCAGTGGGGGCTCAGTCCTCCGGAGTCTAGGAGTCGAGGTTCAAGGAGGGCATGGCAGCCGATGGGGCAAGATTGGGGCCTTTTCTGTGCTTAAGAATATGCTGCCCGGAGGCAGCCCCAGCTCAGAAGACAGGCAGAGGGTGAAGTGATGGGGCTCATCCGGCAGAAGGAGCGCTCAGAGTGCTGGAGCCAGCCCTTCAGCAGCAATTAACTAGGCAGGTACCCAATCTTCTAGAAACAAAGCGGGGAGCCAGGGCTCATTTTCATCGTTAAGGGTCCTCAGGGGCTCCATAGGAGCCCAGCCAGCGGGTGGAGGTGCCCAGAGGCTCTAGCCAATACCACAGGTAGTAAACTCTTTGCCTGTGGGCTGTAGTCCCAAAGAACGAACCCAGAAGAGGGGGCTCAAAGGTCAGGATGGTGCTCTGGGCTCCCGCAGGTCCGGGCAGGAAGGAGTGACTCAAACCAGTCCCCCAGGCCCAGATGTCAGGGAAGGGCCAGCTCCACTCCTGGGCCATGCATCTGTCCTCGGGTGCAGTGTGGAAGTCCAGGAAGCAGGGTCGGCTCCCAGGATGAGTAGCTTAGCAGACGAGGCCCAGGGTCAGGCCTAGTGGCAGCAGAAGGACGAGCCCCTGTAAGCCCCGGGCTGGGGCCGAGCTGAAGGCCTGATGGTCGACACAGAGATGGCCATCGGGCTGGGACTCCTGGAGCTGGGGCCCCACACGAGGCTGGAGCTCTGTCACGTGGTAGTGAATCCAGGAGGCGTAGCTGGAGGTCAGCGTGTACACGCCAGGCCTGTTGGGGGCCCCACAGGCGTCGCCCCAGCTCACAATGCCTGCCAGGTACCAGAGGCCCCCCGCGGGGCAGGAGAGTGGGCCCCCAGAGTCACCCTGAAGAGAAAAGCCACAGAGTACCGTCAGGACGGGGCCCCGGGCCTCGGGTCAGCCATGCCAGCCCCTCTCGCCCTCATCTGCCAAAAGGCACTGGTCTCACTGCGCACCCCGCATTCACCTGGCAGGCATCCTTGCCCCCCTTCACGTAGCCGGCACACACCATGTCCTGCTGGATAAAGTGGGGCTCATCAGGCTTGGCGTCGATGTTGTACAGGCAGTTACACGTCTCACGGCTGATCAGTGGTACCTCGAGTTGCTGCAGCTGCCGGGGGGCCAGGAGGCTCACTGTGGGAGCAAAAGATGCTCACCTGGGGCCCCCTCCCCTGAGTCAGACACCGCCCCCCCACGCCTCTAGACATCAGCGCCCACCTCACCTGAGGGCGCCACGTGGCCCCATCCGGTGACAGTACATTGGAAGCCGTTGGGGAAGGAGGTGTTGGCTGCGGGGAGGCAGATGGGCCGGATGTAGCGGGAGAAGGAGACCGGCCTCCCGAGCCGGAGGAGCGCGATGTCGCCCTGGGAGCCCTCCTGGTGGTAGCTGGGGTGGGAGATGACCTGGGCCACGGTGCGGACCTCGGCCTCAGGGGTGTAGGAGTCCAGCTGGTGGGCCCCCAGCTTTACCTCATAGTCTTCCTTGAGGTGCTCCCTGCAGGCAGAGGGGCCAAGGCTGGGACCCAGGAGACCTCTCCTAGGTCCCTGCTCCCTGTTGGGGATCCCCGTTCCATCTACCCCCCCAGGTTCTGGTCCCAGGCAAAGGGCCTTTTAGATCCCAAACTGCATATTAGTTTCATCCTGTGACCTGTGACCTCTGGCCTTCACTCCTGACTGATCCTTTCGGACTTAATTATTGCTACCCCTGGACCCAACCCAAGGACTCCAACCTCCGGCCTAGGCTGATCCCTGAACTTTGACCTTAGCCCACTTTTGACTCCCCCCACCTCCCCCCCCACCCCACCACCTGGCTGGTACCTTGGGAAGCAGTGAGCAGCTGAGACCACCCACTGCTCAGACACGAGGGAACCGCCACACACGTGGGTGCCGTCGTAGGTGATGCTGACCTGCCAGGGCCACTGGCCGGCCGCTGCGCCACCACCCCCGGTGATGCGTGCTTGGGAGGCCACGCCACAGGAGGCTGTCCAGGGAGGAAGGGGAGGGAGTCAGGTCCTTCTGGGGCCCCCGCACCGGGCTCCTCGGGCCTGCCGCCCCCTGTTGACCTGGTCTGGAGCTTGGGAAGTGAGCTCACGGGAGCCAGCCACCCGTTTGTCCCCGTCCCACTGCTCGGCGGGCACGGCTGGTTCTGCCCCCTCACCATCCTTGTTACCGAGCTCGGGTTTCGTCCAGCTTCCTTGCTCTCGGGTCCTCCCACCTTCCATTCCGTCCACTCCTCACAAGTCAGAAGATCTTTATAAACCACAAATCTGATCGGGTCACACCTCAGCTTAAATCCTTTCCTGGCTCCACACTCTGCCCTCAAGATACATTCCCGACCTTCCAGGACACTACCACCTAGTCCAGCCATCCCTCCGGACACCCGTCACACACACTGGGCCACACACTTGTTTGCCTCTAGACCTCTGCTTATCCAGGTCACTCTGCCGAGCACACCTTTCCTCATCCCTACTCAGCTCAGCAAACCTATTTGCCTATGCAGGTGATTCACATGTCGGCCTCTCCTTCAGCTGCCCCCACGGGGCTGGCTGAGTTGGATGATGCTGGGAGCTCCCGGCCCCCCACCGCCCCCACCCCCGCATCCCCCAACGCTGCCCCCTCACACAACTGTTGTGCTGGTGTCTGTGACAGCACAGAGTCCGGGCATTCCCTGCTGACAGGGCCTGGAGCTGAGCCCCTTGTCCCCCGTGCCCAGCACACGGGGCTGAGCACACAGCCGCAGTCGTGGATGCGTGCTGCACAAACAACAGGCCTCCCACACTGCGCATCTGGTTTCCGGGACAGCCTCACCCCCACTGAGGCTGCGGCCCTTTGGAGCAGGAGCCGGCAGCCCTTCACAAAGTCACCTTCCTCGGAGCAGAGCAAACCGTCCGGCCAAGCTCCTCCTTCTCTCCTCGTAATAACGACAATAGCTACTAGTGAGTGACTGCCCAGGCGACGCGCGGGGCCGCGGGAAGGCTTTCACTCACGGACTTTATCTCCCTGAGTCCTCACTGGGCCCCAGGAGACAAACATCACCGACTTCATTTTTGAGGTGAGGGGACTGGCCAAGAACACACAGTGTGCGGTGAAGCGGGGACTGAAAACCAGACTCAGAGTCGCGTGGTGTGCCTTGGCTGGTCTTCCTCCAAGGTCGTTACCTCTGGACTCAGACGTGGGTTTAAAATCCCAGCTATGCCTCTCAGTGGCTGTATGCTCTTGGGCAAGTCACTTCTCCGTACCTCAGTTTCTTTCTCCAGGGAATGCCACTTACCGTCCCCATCTTACAGACTAATGGCAGGATTTACTAAGGCAATAAGGACGGGTAAGAGGGCCCTACCGGGGAGAGGGTCAGGCGCTCATGAAACACTCCGTTGGAATCTGAATCCAAGTCCCCTTCCTTTCCCCTCCCCCACACAAGCCTCGCCTTCATCCCCGTCTGCTCCTGGAGGAAGAGAGAAAGAGGGAAGGGTAAACAGGAAAGACCAGAGTTCCCAGACCCCTTAGCACCTGCCACTTCTCCAGAGGACCGTCCCCCACCCCCACTCCGCGCCCCCCAGGAGGCCAAAGCTGAAGGGAGAGGGAGAGGCCCAGAGCTAGAGAGGCTGGAAGCCGAGATAAGGGATAAGGGGTGTGCCCAGAAAAGGGTTATACCCTTGGCCTAAGTCCACCACCCCTCCCCCCAAACCCCACACTCTCTGACCGCCGCAAATACTCACCAAGTCCGGACCGGAATAATCCAAGTAAAAGCAGAATGGCCACAGCCCCCAGCCACCCAGGCCCCAGGCCTGCCCTGTGGGCCATGGCCCAGGACCAGGGCCCCTGCGGAGAGACACCAGGCACCCTAGGGAAGGTACTTAGGGCTGGTTTCAAAGGCAAGTTCCAGGTATCGGCCCCAGAGGGAAGGGATCCTGGAATCCGCGCTGGGAAGGGGGAAGAGACGTCCAAGGCTAACTTCGAAGGCAGGAATAAGGCACGAAGGGAGACGCTGGGGTCTCCGCAGCCGCCAGTGAGGACACGTCTCCAGCCAAGCCTGGCTACGCAGAGACCTTCCAGAGTGCTGCTGGATCCCTGGAGAAAGGCACCTACCTGCCTGCCCCTCCCCTAGCCCCGCCCTCCTTGCTTAGCTCCGCCAGCTTTTCTTGCTAACACGGTCCTAAGTCCTCCCAGACCCCCGGGGGTGGGGTGGTGTGTGTGTGTGTGTGTGTGTGTGTGTGTGTGTTCCAGGCGGGACTGGAAATCCCTTGATAGCTAGACTCCCTAGAATGTGACCCCACCGCCCTCTGTCCCAGGTCTTGCAAGTCTCCCAGACCAGTTATGTCCCCAAGGTTCTGGCCCAGTCTTTGTTGTCCTGGGGCCGCTGTGCTCCTCCTTTCTTCCCTCCTTAGGCCTGGTGTCTGAGCCCAGGGCACCCGGGGCTGCTCCCGGCGGGCCCTTCTGTTGAGCCTGCAGCCGCATCTGTGTGCGGTGAGGTGTGTTGAGTGTGATGGCAGGTGCCAAGCATGTCACAGGTATTTCCCGAGTGCCTACTATGTTCCAGGCACGGGAGACGAAACAGACACCATCTTCTGCCTTCGCTGAGCTCACCGTGAAATAGGGCTGACAGCTCTGAATCAAATAATCACATAGCAATTACAGAATAATTTCAAGCTAGGCACTGTGATAAAGAAGAATGGGGGCTCTGGGGGCCTGTTCACAGGAGCTTCGCGTAGGCTGGCATCAGGAAGGTGCTGTTAGAACTGAGGCCTGAGGGGCTCTGGGAAGGTGTTAAGGCAGATGGAGGAGAAGGGCGGTCCGGGGAGAGCGTTCTCAGGTGGACGGTGCAGGTAGCTCAGACTCTGGGGCCGGAGGCCCATGTGACCGGGTTGGGGGTCAAGTTCATCCTCCGTCCGTGTATGGGTCTGTGGGCAACTGGGCATGTATGTTGGCTTCAAGCCTCGGAAGAACAGAGCCGCGCTTCCCCACCTACTTTCCATAAGGCTAAGACCTCTTAGCCAAAACTTCAGGGCCCCCCCTGGAGGGCAGGGAATTCCTGGAGTGAGTGAGGGGCTACAGGCTAACTGCTGGGGAGGAGGGGGCAACATTGGACACTGTGGTGGGTTGGGTAGAGGGTGCGTGTATTTTTTTTTTTTAAAGATTTTATTTTTATTTATTTGAGAGAGAGAATGAGAGAGAGAGAGCACATGAGAGGGGGGAGGGTCAGAGGGAGAAGCAGACCCCCCAGCTGAGCAGGGAGCCCGATGCGGGACTCGATCCCGGGACTCCAGGATCATGACCTGAGCCGAAGGCAGTCGCTTAACCAACTGAGCCACCCAGGCGCCCTGAATAAATAAAATCTTAAAACTAGTTTGTCTTTAAAAAAGCAAGCAAACAAACAAAACCCTCTGCCCATCTCCTCAATCTCCCAAGAACTTCCTACTTCCCCTCCCCATCCTCTGCCCACTCAACCCAGAGATGGTGACTCCGGCCCCAGAGGGGACCCCTCTGCTACTCTCATCAGCTGGCTTCCACCCCAAGCACTCCTTCCCCAGGTCTCCATTTGCCCTTTTTCTGTGCTCAAACATCACCTCTTCTGTGACCCTTTCCTAATCCCCAGCCAGGGGTGTCCATATGTGCTCCCCACTACATTGCGAGCACTTCAGGGGCTGAATCTATCAGACCCCCAGACCCCCTGACTTAGTAGTTCGCAGGGAATGTGGTTGAATTCACGCAGGAAGGCGCACTACTAGATGTTGGGGGAGTTGGGGGGGGGCGCCTGGGTGGCTCAGCTGGTAAAGCGTTTCAGCTCCGGTCATGATCTCTTGAGTCCCCGGATCAAGGCTCCCTGCTCAGAGGGAAGCCGGCTTCTCCCTACACGCCCCCTCCCCCCGCTCGCTCATTCTCTCTCTTGTGCCCGGGCTCTCAATCTCAAATAAATAAATAAATAAATAAATAAAGTAAAATCGTAAAAAAAAAAGGTGGGTGAGGGAGTGGGATGTACACACAAGGACACATGATGGTGCCCAAACTCTGGGGACACCGGGCAGGCTGTGCAAGTGGGGGACCGTCGAAGGGCATGGACAGTGGGGGTGCACACCCTGGGCCATTCATCAGGGTGTGCACATGAGGGGGCAGCTGTCTGTGGGCAGGGGATATGCTAGGCCCTGGACTCCCAGACTGAGACCCTTCCCCACCCTCACCGGCAATCCTTGCTCTGCGGGTGGGGAGGGGGGGAAGGGCAGTAGGTCTGAGCTAGGGCTGAGGTGTCTAGCAGGTGCTAGAGAGGCCGATTCCGCTGGGGAGGTGACACACGCCCAGCTGCCACCCCACATCCCCCGCCCTGGGGCGGGAATGAGGGATAGCTGCCACGTTATCGGGGACACATTTCCTGGGAGCCCAAGGCCTGACTCACAGAGGCCCGGGAGGGATGGGCCCTATTCCCGGGCTTCCCCCAGTCCCTCAGTCTGCCCCCAGCAACGCCACAAGGCCACGTGCCTGTGTTTACACCTTTATTGTCCGCTGCCCCCAAGGGCTCCCGAGCCCTCAACAGCCGGGCGCTGAGGCCCGATTACCCGAAGGGCCTGCAGCCCAGGTGGGCGGGGCGCTCC